TAATACTTTTCAGGGTTAGGTCCGGTCTGACAGCGCTTAGCTCTGCTGCAGAGAGGAAGAGAAGATCACTGCTCTAAACAGTCAACAATCGTACATCCAAACGGAATAAATATAATTAATTATTATTACTACATTAAGTCTTGTTCATTGTTACAGACTGCTGGAGAAGAGAGGTTGGGAGATCACAGTAATTCCGATAGCCCATCGGAATGTGACCATCCTCCACACATTCCGATGGCCAATTAGTTTTAAACAAAGAGTTCGCAACATAGGGGGGTGGGGTTTGGTGAACGGTATGGTCAATGTTTGTAAACACTGTGAAATGTTGACTTTATTGAAAATAACACCTTCATGCCGACCTAGATCGCTCCGCTTCGCGTCGGGCTCCTGATCAGCCTGTCGGTGTTCTTTTCCCCATAATGACCAAGTCGCTGCACATTATCCCGCTTATCACATGGCCACATTCTCAACAAAGTAACGATATGACTCCCAATATTAATTGAAATGCTTTTATGGATTTAGAAAATGATTTTATTGATTTAAAAATAGTTGTATGTATTGATTTAAATTGACATGCATCCGCTAAGTAAAATAGTCCGTTGTTACCGTTTGAACTAACGTAGCAACGGCAGGAACTGCTTCGATAGCGTTTTTGAGGAGCTTTTTGATTACAGATTTGAAAACATCGCTGCTTGCTTTAAAAGTAGCACAATTCATTATGTCAAACTTTGGAAAGTATCTAGATATCCCTGCCCTAATGCCAAAGGAACTGGCAACTGAATATGTGTCGCTGTTTGATGTCTATGTCTGGACCACTGCGTAAAAAGGAGGGTTTCAGCCCCATTACTTCTCTTCTTACTTCTATAAGAATAAAACACGGAGGACGGAGATCTCTTTTTCTCCCCCTCTTCTGACAGCCCAGCAGCTGATCTCAAAGCACGCTCCCCTCTCCTGCAGGGGGGCGTGGTCAGCTGCAGCTCACAGAATCAGCCCCCTGCAAAAACAGCGCTGGAAAGAGCAAATAGAGCGAAATGAGGGATGGCTAAAATGCAGGATCTGTTTGGTATTTTGAAAAAAAAACTATTTATATACTTTATATAGATATGGCCCTACAATATATTGTTCAAATATAGCATGATATGTCCCCTTTAAATAAAAACATGGTGATGTTTTGTAAATGATTACATGTTTCTTATTTAGCACAGAATATGATCCTATCCGTGACATATGGATCTTAACAAATATCCGCTATAGGCTATATAGCTCTACTGTAGATCTATCAGCTGTTTATTTTTTATTTCACATGAGTTCCACTGTGGCAGCTTTTTAATCACTGCACCCCCTGGTGGATCCATGATCCATTGCAGCTGGTTTCATTATAATTACATTTATCAAGGGGGCGTATCAAGTCCTGCGGGGGGTTTTCCTTTTCAGCAGGGGCCCGCCCCGTGCAGATCACGGACCCGCACGGGTAGGCGTCTGAAAGGAAGTGCTACATCTGTAGTAGTTTTTGAACATCCTTTTGTGAAAAGAAAATCCAATAACCAAAACATACACTGACCAGCCTTGCTATCATTCTACATTGGTACTTACAGAAAATACTTTTTATATCGAGTTATTTTCTGGAATTGATAAAAAATATAGCCAAGAGCAAGCAGCAATTTACAGCCCCCCGTTCAGCTGTGGAACGTGTCGACACACAACAAACAATATGTCTGTCACTGGGATTTATAATGTCAGGTGTGTTGTTATACAAATATATTGCTCCTTGTGGGAAAGTAAAAACAGAAGATATAGTGAGATGTACTGCTACTCAATTTCACTTAGACTTTATTTCCTAAGTAAGAATGAGACACCGTCCTGTCACTTGGTGCAGATTTAGTGAAAATATTTCTTAATAGTCATTGTTTTTTTATGAACACACAACATTTAAATTTTCCATGAAGGAGAAGTCACATTTAATTTTGAGAATGCTGTGAATTTAAATTCTTATTAGAAAATACTTAAAAAAATTGGAAGTGACTGTTCAGAATTTTTCAGAAATTGGAACCGGTTAGCAAAATTGGAATCACTGCATCTGTAGTTTAATTATGTATCATCAATTAATTTCATAGGCCAGTGAACTCAGAAGAAAATATGCTATTGATTTGACATAATTGTCATGAAATGTTGTGAAGAGTTTGTTGACTCAATGTCTGCATGTGAATTGCCTGGAACCTATTTTAATTTGTTAATAAAAATACACATTATTTAGGATTTATGACATTCCTCTTATGGCATTTGAGAAGTGTATACTTTATAACTGAAGATACAATGAATGTAGTTGTTGTGAAGTTTTAATGTCATCAAAACAACACAAAGTCATTCTTATAATATATGTTTTAATGAGTTTATGTTTTTAGACAAACTGAGCAGCTTGCATTACACATCCTGGACACAGAGCAGCGACCTCCTGTAAAACTAGTTAAATATGGTGCTTCAGGAAGTTTAATTATATTTGAATTAACTGTCTGCTTGCTCGCCGATGAGAATATATGACGAGCCAGTAAAACACATGTCATATTTCTGCAAGGTTGACATCATTTTAATGGAATGTTCCTCCTGTCACACGGTGGAGATACAGGGGATAAACGATTTCAGATGGCAGGGGAAATATGTCCTTTATGCTCAGTGGAACCGTGTGTGTGTGTGTGTGTGTGTGTGTGTGTGTGTGTGTGTGTGTGTGTGTGTGTGTGTGTGTGTGTGTGTGTGTTGGGTGTGGGTGGGTGTGGGAGAGGGCGAGAGTTTCACCAAGTGTGTCCATTAACACTGAATATGTGTCAGTGAACTATATTACATTATATCATATAATATAAAATTGTATTTTGCATTTGTATATATTATTTTATATTGAATTATAGTTTATTTTGTATTATGTTTTATTATATTATATTTTATTATAATATATTATTTTATTACATTTTATAATGTTAAATTAAATTAGCTTTTTTTCATCCCAATTTTTAAAATTGTTTTCATTGTTAAAGCAGCATGTAAACAGATTATCATAACTATAGGCCTATACAGAATAAGTCCGTATAAACTATAATAGACCAATCAACTACTAACAAAATATAAATCTGGTAAACTAATAACATTATAAAAAAGATACGATTAAAAAAATTAAAAGCAGCTAGCTACCACTCTGTTTTGTGTGTGTGTGTGTGTGTATGTGTGTGTTTGTGTATGTGTGTTTGTGTGCACCTTTTTATATGCATGCATGTATTATTTAGGATGTTCCATGTGACTGGTGTTGTGGCAACAGTTAGCCAATCCACAGCTCCTGGTGATCTTTGTATCACCAATAGGTCAAAGAAAAAGAGTGTGTGTGTGTGTGTGTATGCAAGTGAGACAGAGGGAGGTTTGTCGCGACTCAGCAAACATTCACTGCTGGTATTGGCAAAGCAAGCGGGAGAATGACACCTTTATTGACATCCATGTCAAAACTAATATCGGTGAACTTATGAAAGGGCGCTCGCTTTGCAAAACATATTTGGCCTACAGTAGTTCTCACTGACTCATCTCGAGCTGACATTTTTTATTTGCTTACAACAGCTACTCCAGAAGAATTGATCACAGATGCACTTTATTCTGCCTACTCTAGGATCTGTTTGTCAGGCTTAATAGAGTGGTGTAGTGATTATGTATTTGTGTAGGCAGACCCAGAAGTTAGCATCACAAGGGCTCCCTCGACAAAAAGCCAATATAATCTTTCATTATATTTTGGATTACATGCAGAAAATAAGATCTGTGGCAAACATACATTTAAGATATTTACCGGTTTTGTTCAGCAGGATAATCTCCACTTATTAATAACACTTTTCCTATTGTTGAGGCGTTAATGCAATCTCGAAGAGTAAAAGACTAATGTTTGGCTATAAACAAACAACAACATGCTAAACTATAGGTGGCTAACGTTTGGCCTAATAACGTTTAGTAGTCTAATTTAGTTACTTCTTAGCGATTGTTATGACACATAAAAGCTTCAGACATTCACCAGTAGGGTATTCACTTTGTTTAAATCTCTTCAGCTTGTCTTAACTAAGACCTTATTTCAGGCATCTTACCAAAAACAATTACAAACAATTGTGAAATTGGAAGTGCTAAAATTCCAACTCATTCCCAGTTCTTAGGACTCATTGCTGCACCACTATAGAGTGCCGCAGCGACGCGTCCTAAAACCTGGAAGTAAGTTAGCATTTTACCACTTCCGGTTCCTTCGACAAAAAACCAATGCAATTTCTCCATAGGGTTTTGGAAAATAGCTCGAAATAAGGTCTGTGGTTGAAACACATTGAAGAGACGGATCACGTTTTGTTCTACGACATTGAATCCATCAGCAGTGACCCCACTGGTGATTTCTGAAGAGTTCACGTGTCTGAGAAACGATGGTTGTTACCAAGTGGCTGAATAGGACTATAGAAGTTGTCCAGTCCGTTTTACGTCATTACACCGAACACGTAAAACACTCCCGCTAAGTTTGTTTGCCCTGTTCTGCTTGAAAGCAAGTCCCTGCCTCCTGCAAACTGTTCAAACAAACGCTTCAACTTGTACCATTTACAATCTGTATGTTTGAATATGGATCTGAAGTTGGCGAGACGTTGAAGCCCTGCTGTAGTTCCTTTATAGCATAACGTTAGCATTTTGCTTCTGGCGACTAGATTTATGATTAGAAAATTATAAAAGTAGGGTAGACATGTGGAGATTATCCGGCTGAACAAAACTGATCCGTCTCTTAAATGTGTCTCAACCACAGACCTTATTTCCAGCTATTTTCCAAAACCCTATGGAGAGATTGCATTGGTTTTTGTCGAAGGAACCGGAAGGTTTTTACTTCCTGGTTTTAGGACGCGTCACTGCAGTTCTCTATAGGGCTACAATTTAATACATTTCTGTCTGTTAACAACTCCACTTGACCTTGTTTTGTGGGTGGTGCTTTATGTGTGTGTGTGTGTGTGTAGGCAGCCCCCTAGCGAGCGTCTGTTCCCTGGTGCTTCAGGATTTGCAGCGGTTGCTGAGGCGGTGTCAGCTGGAGTCTCCTTCTCCTGTCTGAAGGTGGCCACACAGGCTGCCAGCGCCGCATCTGCACTGTTCAGGTACACACAAAAACACACTGCTTTACATATACGTGCATGTAAATACATATTGTCAAGGACACTTTGTATTGTGCAGTGTTTATTTGACTAATATAAGATTGAGATGACTAGACTTTTCAATTGACTGAAAATAGACTGTTTTTCCTCAAGTTTTAATTTAATTTCAAATAAAGGTTTGAAATTAAATTTAAAGTTGAGGAAAAACAGGATCAAATTGATAAAATATTATTTTCAAAAATACAAATTGTTTATCAGCCTGTAACTATAACCTGTAAATAAAGTTTCAAATAAAATACTAAAATAACAAGGATATTTGCCACAGAAATAAGACTATAGGTAAGAATATGTGTCAAAGCCATGAATATAAAAGCTATGATTGTTCTCAGAAAGTCCTTGGAGGCATTTCTGTAATAATGAGGTATGGAAACAATCAAAGTTGGACTATAAACCAGCAAGTTTCTCACACAGTCAATTACTGAGTCAACCATGAACACATACAAGACAGTACACACACATATAAGCGTGAACACCAGCACCATGTCAAAGGTAAATAGTAAACACAAACTAAGACACTTTGCCTTACACACAGACATATTGATGTAGGCAAGGACGCTTGAGAAAGCCACTGGCAAATCCATACCATTAGTCACACACACACACACACACACACACACACACACACACACACACACACACACACACACACATACACACACACACACACACACACACACACACACTTTCAACATCTTCTCCACCTGCTTAAAACAGTCATACAGCGCTGTGTAATTGAATGTGAGGTGTTTCCTTTGTAAAAGTGCTGCCACTCTGAATCCTCCAGACTGAACCACCAGTCCAGACCAGTGCTTTATGGGAAGATAGAAGGATTGATTGAAGCCATCACTAAGAGATTCCCCGAGCTGCCACTACCCTCTCATCCTCATCGTGGAATCTCTGTGAGTTTGTTTGATCCACAAAGATTAAAAACACTAAAGAAGACTGAGACTTTATCTTTCGTTGATTCTCCAGAGAGTGTTAAAAAAAGACACCGACATATCTGACTTTGATTCTATCTATAAAAGTGTCACACGCTACCTATTTGATTGACAGGTGGGATCAGGTGGGACTCATTCTTCCATGATAGAACAAATGGCGTTTTTTTCCCCTCTAGCTGTCCTTCAATGCTGTCTTCTTTTTTTTGTATAGACTTGAGCATCACACATGTAACGGACAGTGACGCAACTGTCAGATAGATGTGACTGGGTGGCATGCCATCATGTCACTATAGAAATAGAAGAAAAGTAAATGTCTTTATACCAGGTGTCAATAGAGTGACAGATTTTTCCATTGTATTTTGGATTATTACAGAAAATAAACTCTGTGGCAAGCACACATTTATGATATTTATGAATTGTTCAGCAGGATCATTTTTATATATTAACACCACTTTTATGATTTTTTTAAGCGCAAATGCAACATTCAGAAGTAAATAGTTAACATTTTGCTCTAAAGCAGGGGTGTCAAACTCAAGGCCCATGGGCCAAATCCGGCCCGCGACCTCATTTTATGTGGCCCGCAAGAGCTTGCAAAGATTATTATTTTCAATACAATTGGTGTAATTGTTGAATATTTGCTTTCAATTATTTGTCCTAGACTTCTGCTTTCAGACGTAGTTATTTATAAAAAATTACAAGAACTGATAATAATCCAATGCAGAGGCAATAATGTAATATAATACATTATTTAATATATACTATATATTTACAGATGTATATTTATATTGAGAAGCCAAGTGTGCAAAGCTGTCATCAAGGCAAAAGGGGGCTAATTTGAACAATCTAAAATATAAATCATATTCTGGATTTTTTAACAATTTTTTGTTTACTTCCATATGTGTTCTTTTATAGTTTTGATGTATTTAGTAATGATCTACAATGTAGACAATTATTAAAATAAATAAAAACCTTCGAATGAGAAGGTGTGTCCAAACCTTTGACTGGTACTGTATATTTATAGTTACAACCGGCCCTTTGAGTGTAACCATAATGCTAATGTGGCCCGCGATGAAATGGAGTTTGACACCCCTGCTATAAAGGAACTACATCAAGGTCAAATGACTTCAAGTCGCCACCTCTAAGCTAAAGGCAGCTAATGTTCAGCATGATTATGTCATAGATGGGAGTAACACATGCGTCACTTCCGGGCGAAAATTAAGGCCCCGTCCACTTTTGGGGGAAAACAAAGCTGTCATTTGAATGGCGGTCAATTCAAATTCTGAAGTTTTTGCCAATCCAATCAGAAATGTAAGAAAACCGTGGACGATGGCCAGACAGGCAAACAATTACATTAAATCATTTGAAATCGACGATCGGGCTCGATATATGGTTAAATATAGCATTAGGCGATCGATGTCCACAGATGAGAATAACATCTACGTCACTTTACGGCCACGCCCACTTTTGGCGGAAACAACGCTGTCATTTGAACGGCGATCAAGCCTGAAGCCACAGAGGAAGTACAGAAAACGTAACTCTGGATTTGTTTTTTCATTTCATTTCAAACCTTTATTTATCCAGGTGTAATCCCATTGAGATCATTGATCTCTTTTTCAAGGGAGACCTGCTCAAGTAGGTTCCACATGAAACATAAAAACATAAACAGAACAACAAAAAGGACATTTTACAGCATCATTACAGGGTTTACAATTTACAATAACTATCCACATGAGCAGGTACCAACAGCTTCCGATTGAGTAGCATCCAACCGAGCTTTAAAAACATTTAGTGGCACCAGATTGCTCAGTTTCCATTTCAATTGCAGACTATTCCAAGACAGAGGAGCTGCACATCTAAAAGCTATCTTCCCTAAGACAGTCCTAGCAGTTGGCACATTTAATAAAACTACAGCATGCGATCTCAGGCAGTAGCCACTTACAATTCGCCGTGAGATCAGGGAGCAGATGTAGGATGGAAGTTTCCCTAACATGGCTTTATATATAAAAATGTACCAGTGACTGAGCCTCCGTACAGTTAGCGAAGGCAAACCAGCCCTTGCATACAGGGTACAGTGATGGGTTAATGCTTTACAGTTTGTCACAAATCTCAGTGCGCAGTGTTTTAATGTTTGAGGGGCAATAAACGACACAGCAGTTTTTGGCATGATAAAACAATTATTTTCCGCCTCGCTCATGAGAGTAACAGCCGGCGAGATTACAGCCTCGCCTATTGATTTTAATTTAACCATATATCGAGACCGATCGTCGATTTCCAATGATTTAATCTCATTGTTTGCCTGACTGGCCATTGTAATCAGCCGCGTTGAAGATCCAAAAATCCACAGTTTTCTTAAATTTCTGATCAGATTGGCAAAAACTTCAGAATTTGTATTGACCGCCTTTCAAATGACAGCGTTGTTTTCCCCCAAAAGTGGGCGGGGCCGTAATTTTCGCCTGGAAGTGACGTAGGTGTTACTCATCTATAGAACTAAATGTGAGTATTGTGTGTTAAGCACATTCTTTTTTCCAGGCCTCTGACCTAAAACACCTTTAAAAAACAATTGACTGGCAATGGAATTGGAAGTGCTAAAATGCTAGCTAATTTCCATGTTTTAGGACTCATTTCTGCAGCTCTTAATGGGACCTAGAGTAAATATTTCACTGAAGAAAACAAAGAAGGGTTTCAGGGTTTTCTCAGCAGTTGTTTAAATGTTTTAAATACATTTTAAGATATTGATTAAGTGCTTTTATAAGATGATGTTTATTTAATTTCTCCTCATCTTTCTCTGTTTTCTCCCAGAGGAATCTGACGAGGTCAGGCAAAGACAGCCAAGCCTCAAGAGCCGAGGGATTTCTGCTCCAGGCGCTGATCTGTTTTCAGGCTGCCTGCAGGTCAGCACATCGTCCGGTCACACATTCAGGGAGCTTAATGGGATCACTTTGATAGTTAAAGGGAATAAAGTCACAAGTGTAATTCGTTTTCCATTGTTTTATGATCAATTTTAAAGGGGACCTATCATGCAAAATGCACTTTTTGATGTATTTTATACATAAACATGTGTCCCCGGTGCGTCAGGGAACTCACGCAGCGTCAGAAAATAAAACCCTCTCTCTTTTCCTCCGTACCCAAATCTCTAAAAACGGGGGAACAACGGAGCTGATCCAGATTTGCGTCCGATATGACGTAATATCTGAAATGTGGACCCACGGCCCTATCAGAAACGTTGCTATCAGAAACAATGCCCGACTGTTTTGGACGTAATATGGTCGGTGTTCACATTAGCATCGCTAACACTCAGAGCTAACCTGTACTGGAGAGCATGTGTGTGAAGAAGCAGGAAGTAAAAAGGAACTCACCTTGTGGTATAACCGGCAAGAGAGAAAGCCTTTGAGCTCCAAACTGTTTCAGATCCTTGGTAATCCATGATATGGCGTTTCATCACGGCAGCATTTAGTTTAGGCAGTAGCTGCCGGGTCCCGCATGAGCTCAGACCCCTCCTTTTTTATTTGTATACATTTTTATTTTTTTAAAGCTTTATTCCCCAAATCAGCACTTTAGAAACAGGAAGTGAAATAGAGGGATATGGCTAGAATATTTTGAGCAAAACACTTCATAGACATGCTTTTTATATATTTTTATATATCTGAGACCTATGCTATTGCCTACAAATAGCATGATAGGTGACCTTTAAATTAAATCTAATCTTAACAAGTTTTACCTTTTGCCTTTATGATTTGCTTTTCTCAATTTAATAACAATAACATCTACTTGTTTTTGAAAGTAGTGTATTGGATCAAGTGTTCTCTTTTTCAAAACGCCCAATTAGAATATTATTGCATTTTAGAGGAGCCATGGAGGTTTCAGTTGAAATGTAGATGAAGTCATTGAGTTAAATCTGCAGGTTTGCAAGTTTTTCTTGTGTGTTTTCCATGTTATTTCTTTGTGTGTGTTAGTGGTTATGTGTGTGTTTATTTGTGTTTTCTAAGGCTGGCTGAGGAGTGTGCATCAGAGCCCGTCCTGAAGGAAAACACATTCACAGCTCCCTCTAAACAGAGCCAATCCCAGGACTCACTGGAGTCTCTGTGCAAATGTCTGCTGCACTGCTGCGACTCCGTCTGGATACCCACTGTCATTGTGAGAGCACACACACACACACACACACACACACACACACACACACACACACACACACACACACACACACACACACACACACGGACAAGAGTATTTTCAAGGTTGGTTGTATAGAGTGGTGCAGGAATGAGTCCTTAACCCCGGAAATTAATGGATTTCAACACTTGTCTCTAAGTTTTTGGACGTGTTTTTGGTTAGATTCCCAAAATAAGGTGTCAACACAATATTTGTATGTATGTTCTACGTCTCTACGACATAAAATATGTCAGTAAATACTTCACTGGTGAATGTCTGAAGCTTTTTTGTGTCCTTGAAACAGCGGTTGCTAACTACTGTCTAAATAAGGCGGACGTTAGCTTAGCATATCTAACGTTGGCTTTTAACTTCATGAGATTGCATTTTCGCTTCCACTATTATAAAAAGCTGTTAATATGTGACGATTATCCTGCTGAACAAAAAGTGTTAGTATCATAAACATGATTGCCACAGAGCAAATGTTCTGAAATATTATAAAATCCAATTGGCTTTCTGTCGAAGGAACACTTGCGATGCTAACCTCTGAGTCGTCCTCCAAAAAGACACCGTCCTGTACTTCTCTATACAAGCTAACATTAAACCAGACTTGAACAAAGTGATCAAAGTTTAGTTTGGGTTAAGGCGAGACACTACAGGTGAATAGGGTTTTTTTTTTTACTTAAAGATATCAGCTAAAAATGTCTCCAGTTAATTACTTACATTAAGACAATTGTTTTTTGTATTACAAGTTTTCTGAAATAGCATGTTTCAAAATGCAAATGAGCCATGCTCTCATTAAATATGCGCATATTTTAACACATTTCAGGAACCTGAACATTGAATAAAGCCAGGTTCAACATTCTTGTTTCATTTTGTAGTCATATTAGAATGTAAAGTTTTTACAGAAGGGATTTTGGATATCTCTTTTTATCATTCCTTAAATCAGAAAATACTGTCAACAGCTCTAAAATATCAATTTTCGCCATGTTTTTAGGTATACAATGTTATATAATTCAGGCTATGAATCATATATGAACAAACCCTTCTGTAAAAACCTGCAGAATATTGATAGGAATATAACTGGAAGGTTTGGTGTATGTAAGTGGAAATGTCATTTTGAGAAAACTACCTTTAAAGATAGCAGTGTGGCGCTACCTGAACCCTCCTGTTCTCTGGATGACAGCTTGCGCCTCGACGCACTCCGTGAAGGTATTTCGTGTTCGGGGTCATTTGTTTTTTGTATAACCTTGCTTCGTGCAAGTGACAATTGTTCTCGTCTTCTCTGTGAACGTGTTATTCGCTGTTCTTTTGTCATTTTGAGATTTAAATTTCCAGTGGAAAGCTAACCAGGAAGTGTTTTAGCACACCACGTGACGCATCTGAACGAATCACGTTGTCAGAAATTGACACCAGCCAGTGAGATTTCGTTTCTTGGTTTAAGACCCCTTTGTGCTTTCACGATTGGTTGCTGATACAAAGGAAATGACCATATTTGGATCTGATGAGATTGTGCAGGAGAGACAGAGTTTTCCAACGATACCTCTGTTGACATGGTGCACACAGCGGTCGCGGTACTTTATGTTACGTTAGAATGCTACTTTTGGTGAATTTAGGAGAAATCTACAGACGCAAATAGACAAACTATAATACAAAATAAACACCTAATAAAAACATGTTTTTGCCTGCCGTGTCTCGCCTTAATTGCCTTTTCTTTTGTGTGTGTAGAAAATGTGTCAGGAGGCACCCCACGCTCAGATTCTGCAGCAATTCTACTCCATCCTGACCTACCAGTTCACCCTTGTTCCGTCTCTCATTCCTGTCTTTACGAATAAGCTAGGTGAGTAGGGTAATTCAACTGTACAACATAATTATCAGGGCCAAAACAATTCAAAGTAACGATATTACCACAATATATAAAGGTCATATTAATCTTTTTCTTTGTTTATACTGTAGTCAGTTCAGTCAGACAACTCACATGTTTCTTAATATGTTTATTAGAAGCAGCATATAGTTTGAGTTTGGCATCTAGGCTCGGCCTCATCACTCCACAGATTTACAAAGAACATTGAGTGATGATTAGATAACTATCCGCCGAGCCTACAGGTGGAAGCTGGGGTCACGTGTTAATGTATCATTGGTGCTCGAGTTGACTGCCTGAACTAGCTCGCAGGCTTCGCCCCATTTGTGGCAAATTACTCACACTCAAAATGAAATATTCTAAGAACGAATAACCGAGTGAACAAAATAAAAGAAGTCTTTATATATTGCTCTTCTCAATTCCACTCAGTGCAGCATTGCAATTAGACTAGAGCAATTTAAATGAGTAATACAAGAACAATCCCACCTTGA